TCGCGTGCCTGGATGGATTGCGCGACACGCCTTTCATCTTCCCTGTCCCCACAACAATCCTAGATCTGATCTACTATCCTCGACACACCTACTTCTATTTAATGGGTAGTGGTCTCTGAAAAAACCATCATGCCTACGGCTCGCGAAAGATTGGCCGAGCTGAGGGCCCTTCGTGCCTCAGGAAAGAAAAGAATTTCCACATACGAGGTCGAGGACCAGGGCGACATCTACGACGAGGTTGATGATGACGGTTACAAAAAGGTTATCCGAAACCGTCTTGATCAGGATGATTTTGTTGTCGATGATAACGGCGCCGGTTACGCGGACGATGGCCGGGAAGTATGGAACGAACAAACAGTAGAATACGACAGCGACGAGAGTGACGAACTACCCACACGAGGTAAGGCTGCTAAGCGAAAGAGGGAAGAGGAACAACAGCGAAAGGAGAAAATGAACAATGGTATATCCAAGTACTTCAACAAAGGACAGGCTGCGGCTTCTGCTCCCAAGCCCAAGGTGAGTGCTTTTTGGTCACAGGAATCAAACCTCTCGTTTTAACAATCGGGATTACAAGCTTGCTGCTACTGCCGAGGACGATGCATTCATGGCAGATCTCCTTGGAAAGGTCGACACCAACGTCGTATTGAACCACGCCCCGACACGAAATATTGTCAAGTCTGAGGCCCGACGCAAAGTTCGCGTTCTCTCCCCGCCCTTGTCTGAGCGTCACCGCGAGAAGCTTCACACAAGAGATGAGAATGACCTCCCAAGATCACCAAAGAAGGACCAAGCACTCCACTCTGACGATCTTGATGACGGCCCTTTATCGATGCCGGACGATGACGATGTTCCCATGAGTGATGTCCTGCCATCATCTCCAATCAGTAAAGCAGTGGAGCGGAGGAACACTGTACTGGTCAAGGCTGAAGAGCCAGAAGACGATGATGTTGACCTCATGGACGTCGCAGAAGTCACTGGAGACTCCACCCTCAAATCGAAAACCATCAACATGACCGGGAGTCGGCCGCCCCCGAAGATCAAGCATGACACAGATCCTACACCAGCAAGCTCATCTCCAGTTAAATCTATGCCGGAAGTAATGGATGCTTCTTGGAATGATGTAAGGAGCAAATTGAACGTTCTCAGCAGTCCAGCCCCGGAAACGCGATCTTTTGGGAAGCTGCGCGCTCAAGATGTTGTCGAAGACGACGGAAGTCTGCGCATATTTTGGCTGGACTATACGGAAGTCAATGGCAGCCTGTGTCTGTTCGGAAAAGTGAAGAACAAGCAGAATGGATCCTTCACTAGTGCATTTGTTAAGGTTGACAATATCCTGCGAAAGCTTTATTTCCTTCCGCGTGAATATCGACACAGGCACGGACGACCGACTGAAGAGGAGGTTGACATGCAAGACGTTTACTCAGAAGTCGACGAGATGATGTCAAAGCTCAAGGTTGGCATGCACAAAATGAAACCTTGCGAAAGAAAGTACGCATTTGAAATTCCCGGGGTTCCAAAGGAAGCAGAATATCTCAAATTACTCTACCCCTATGATAAGGCTGCCCTGCCTATGGAAACCAAGGGAGAGACCTTCTCGAACGTTTTCGGCACTAATACCTCTCTTTTTGAACAATTTGTTCTCTGGAAAAATATAATGGGCCCTTGCTGGCTCAGAGTCGACCAGGCCGACTTTGCTGCCGTGACCAACGCATCTTGGTGCAAGTTCGAATGCCGGGCCGCCAAACCAGCACTCATCAGCCTGGTCCCAGATTCCGAGAACCTGGATGCTCCACCTTTGACCTTAATGAGTCTTTCTTTCCGTACCCAGCTCAATGCCAAGGAGAACAAGCAGGAGATCCTGATAGCGAGTGCCCGGGTGTATGAAGACGTGTCTCTAACTGATAACACTCCCCCCGAGAAGCTTCCGTGCAAGACATTCACCGTAATGCGCCCTGCCGGCGCTTCATACCCAATGCATTTCGAAGCCGAAGCACGAAGCCAGCGGGGAACTGTTATTCTCGAAAAAAGCGAACAGTTCTTGCTCAGCAAGTTCCTGGCCATGTTTGAGAAGATGGACCCTGATGTGGTAATGGGCCATCAGTTGCAGGACGTCGACCTGGGCATTCTACTTAGCCGAATGCGTGAAAAAAAGACACCTGGATGGCATCGTATTGGCCGACTCAGGCGTGGAGATTGGCCAAAGAATTTCAACAAAGGTGGCAACTTCTTCGCCGAAAGGCAGCTGATTGCTGGAAGATTGATGTGCGATGTTGCAAACGACATGGGGAAGGTAATTTTCCCTTCAAAGTGGGTATATGACAATACTGACTGCTACTAGTCTCTCATGACGAAGTGTCAGTCGTGGAGTTTGACTGAGATGTGTCAACTGTATCTCGGCCAGGGCAACGTACGCCAGGAACTAGATGCTGAAGCAGCATTGAAGACCTGGGCAACCACCAAAGAAGGTCTCATGAATTTTGTCAATCATTGCGACACAGATACATACTTCATTGCGGCATTAGTTCTACGTCTTCAGATGCTGCCGCTCACCAAGGTCCTGACCAACACCGCTGGCAATTCGTGGGCACGCACACTTAGCGGTACGCGTGCCGAGCGAAACGAGTACATTCTGCTACATGAGTTCCATCGCAACAAATACATTTGTCCAGACAAGTATTCATCTCGTCTTCAGAAGACAGAGGATAAAATGCAAGATGGCGACGATGACGAGGCGGTTGACAAGAAAAAGAAGGACAAATACAAGGGTGGCCTTGTTTTCGAGCCCGAAACGGGTCTTTACGACCGCTTCGTCCTTGTCATGGACTTCAACAGTCTGTATCCCAGTATCATCCAGGAATACAACATCTGCTTCACAACAGTGGACCGAACAGCTATGGTAAATTGACTCAAACCAAGCCCTCGTCTCATTTCGTTTGTTCTAACATGTCCAACTAGGCCGAGAATGAGAATGAAGAAAATGTGCCAGACGTCCCCTCCTCTGACCAAGAACAAGGTGTCCTACCTCGGCTGATCGCGACCTTGGTTAGTCGTCGACGCGAAGTGAAGAAGTTGATGAAAGACAAGCGTGCCACACCCGAACAACTCGCCATCTGGGACACAAAACAATTGGCCTTGAAGCTGACTGCCAATTCCATGTACGGATGCTTGGGATACACGCAGAGTCGATTCTACGCTCGACCTCTGGCAATGCTCACCACCTTCAAGGGACGTGAGATTCTAAGAAACACCAAGGAATTGGCTGAAAGTCAACAATTGCGAGTGATTTATGGTGACACCGATTCGGTTATGATCAACACGAATATGGACAACATGAGCGACGCCATCAAGGTGGGCGAAGAGTTCAAGAAGTCGGTCAACGAACGTTACCGACTTCTCGAAATTGATATCGACAACATTTTCCGTCGGCTGCTACTTCATGCCAAGAAGAAGTATGCTGCTGTCAATCTTACCGAGGTGGATGGTAAGTATGTGGAAAAACTGGAGGTCAAGGGTCTTGATATGAAGCGTCGTGAATACTGTGCACTCTCAAAGGAGGTATCATCGAAGTTGCTTAACGAAATTCTGTCCGGTGAAGACCAGGAAGTCGTGCTCAACAAGATTCATGAGTACCTGCGTGAGCTTGCAGAGAGGATGAAGGAATACACAATCCCTGTGCAGAAATACGTGATTTACACTGTATGTGATGAATCCGAGGATTTTTCTGGATCATATGGCTAACTCTCCATCAGAAACTTTCAAAACGACCTCAGGAGTACCCTAATAAAGAAAGCTTGCCACCAGCACAAGTTGCTCTCCGCGAAATTGCCCGGGGCAAGACGGTTAGACCGAACGATGTCATCTCATATATTGTGACCAACGGAGACTCGGAAACCTCATCTCTGCCTCCTGCGAAGCGATCATATAGCCCGCAGGATGTACTCAAATCCGATTCGGGGCTTAAGCCAGATGTTGAATTCTACATTCTCAAGCAGATCTTCCCTCCTGTTGAGCGTCTCTGCGCCCCAATCCCTGGTACCGATGCCGTCCGTCTCGCCGAGTGCTTGGGGCTTGATACTCGCAAATATCAGATCAATACCTCTAGCTCCAGCAATCAGCAAAACGCCGAGGTCACCCCGCTTGAGTCGCAGATCCCGGACTCGGTTCGGTTTGCCAATTCCACGCGGCTGTCCCTCAGATGCCGATACTGCAAAGAACAGTCTGTGTATGAGGGCATGGTCGCTTCATCGCACATGTGCACTGCTCACGGAATCGTTTGTCCGAACCAGAGCTGCCAGAAAATCTTTCCAGTCATGACAATTGTCGCGCAACTGGAGCACCAGATCCGCGAACAGACCACACGATACTACGAAGGCTGGCTGGTATGCGATGATTCATCATGTGGCAACCGCACACGGCAGATCAGCGTTTACGGACATCGCTGCTTGGGTCCCCGAGGTCGTGCAGAAGGTTGTCTAGGCCGCATGTCGTACGAATACTCGGAGAAGGAGATATACAACCAGCTTCTGTACTTTTCTGGTCTGTGGGATGTCGAGAAAGCTAAGGTCGCTGCCGAGAAAGAGACTGGAGAAAAGAAGGACAGTGTTGCCGCCCTCGCAGAGTTCAACCGCACAAGATTCGGCACGATCAAGGGGGTGGTGGACAGCTACCTGAAGAAGTGTGGTCGCCAATGGGTTGAGATGGATAGTCTCTTCCGCTTCATGTTACAATAGATGCCCCGGTGGCGTATGGTTTTGGATATTTGTAAATACCCAAGGATAGTGGGGTCTTTGAAAGTTAGGATGGTTATGATCAAATCGATTTGCGTATGCATTTGAGGGTCTTCACAAATGTCTCGAGTATTTCTGATATTTCTTATCTTCTTATCGTGAACCCCCCCCCCCCAACTTCTCCGGCCACCCCACTCCGCCAATCTCAACTTTAGCTTGATCGTTGGTGCAGAGTAGATCTTCTTGCTCATTTGCTGATTAGCTCTTGCAATCATGTCTCTCAAAAGGATTTTGGTCATTGCAGGGTCAGATAGCTCAGGTGGAGCGTAAGTTCAAACATTTCACCCCGCAACACCGGCTAGGGAAAAAGCCGCACCCCACGAGCTTACACCCAAAGCGATAATTGACCTTGTATACCCTATTTTGCGCTATATCCTGATTCTAGATGAAATTTCTAACACTTTCAGTGGTCTTGAGGCTGACCAAAGGGTTCTTGCAGCCCATGGATGCTATGCTCTCACTGCCACCACTGGATTGACGGCACAAAATACACTTGGTGTGCAAGACATCTTTGTCGTGCCCTCGGAATTTGTGAGAAAGCAGATCAATGCTGGACTTGAAGATGTGGGTGCAGATGTAGTCAAACTGGGTTAGCGCTTTGAATCTCATGATTCGTCCTTTCTTTTTGTGTAAAACTAATGATCCCCTAGGTATGCTCTCATCTGCTGAGACCATTGATGTCATTGCAGAAACGCTGCAAGCTCACAAAGTCCCTGTTATCGTTCTGGATCCGGTATGCTCAATTACCTGTTCTCAAAACTCCACTCTAACGAGCATCAAAAGGTTATGGTCTCCACTAGTGGCTCCCAGTTGCTACCTGAAAAAGCAGTTAAGGAACTACGGACGAAGCTACTTCCTCTGGCCACAATTATAACGCCAAACATTCCCGAGGCCCTTCTGTTATTAAAAGATGCTGGAACAAAGACTTCCGAACCGAAAGACCTAGAAGGAATGGTTGAGCTTGCTAAGAAGATTTGCTCATTGGGCCCCAAGGCGGTTCTCCTCAAGGGAGGTCACCTTCCTTTGACGAAAGACTACAAGACATCTCCAGAGCCGAAAAAAGGAGCTTTGGTGGTGGATGTCCTCTTTGATGGAACGACGATCACCTTATTCGAGACAAAGTTCTTGTTATCCAAGAACACACACGGCACGGGCTGCTCACTTGCTTCAGCCATTGCTGCAAACTTGGCTTCTGGAAAGGATATGATCAGAGCGGTCCGCAGCGCCGTGCAATTTGTTGAGGTAGGTATAAAGACAAGCATTGACCTAGGTAAAGGGAGTGGGCCGATCAATCATTTCCACTCCACTTACACTATGCCCTTTGCGCCGTATGTGACCCATCACCTCGACTTTTGATTTTCTTCGTCCTAACGGTATGTTGTTTAGTGGCCATTTCCTTGAGTACATTTTGGACCGCCAAGATGTGCAGCAAGTATGGCGGCAGTTCACCCACCATGAGTTTGTCGAAGGCTTGGGCCAGGGCACGCTACCTATTGAACGCTTCAAGGCGTACCTTGTGCAAGATTATCGCTACCTGGTGAAAATTCTTCAATTCGGTTAGGAGAAGACAGTCAACTCATCAATTTTCATCTTTCAGGTACAATTTGCCCGAAGCAATGCACTTGCGTCATACAAGGCTACGAGCATGGATTCAATAGCTGCGGCAAGTACTCGCCAGACTTATTTTCAATGCCAATCTAACACAATGACTCCAGTCAGCCAAGATTGTTCTCCACATCCAGCGGGAAATGGCATTGCACATCGACTACTGCGCCTCCTTTGGCCTTTCCAAGCAGGAGATGGAAAATACACCCGAAACGATCGGTAAGCCGGTTGTGCTTCGTTGTGAATTCGATAGGTGTGGCTAATCTCATTATGTAAAGCTTGCACCGCATACGGCCGATATATTTTGGATGTAGGCCAATCGGAGGACTGGCTAGCTCTCCAAATGGCCCTCGCACCGTGCTTGATTGGATATGGAACCATCGCAAAACGGCTGCACGCGGGAGAAAACACTCTTCGGGAGGGAAACACTTACTGGAAATGGATCGAGAATTATGTTGCCGACGACTACACACAGGCTGTACAATTAGGTTCAGGTAAGTCCCCGATAATGAAGAACAAGTGGAACATCTCATTGATTGCCGTGTCATAGCATTGCTGGAGGACCACATGCAACACGTATCACCTAGCCGCATGGAAGAGCTGATCAAAATCTTTGTTCGGGCTACGGAATTGGAGATTCGTTTTTGGGATATGGGTCTTGGAGGTACAGGGCAATAGATTTAGAAATCCTAGTCTGCTACCTACACCTATCACGAGGATTGTTCCTCGTTTGATCTTATAACTCCAATGCTGCAGCTTGCTTATTTGTACATAACTTTACCTTGTTATAAGTACATTGAGAAAGAAAAATACTGCTACATATTAATAATAAGCTGTGTATATTTGCTTCCTGAATGATCTCTAATTATCCAATGAATTCGGCGTTTAATGTTATCACGTATACGCAGGTGAGTTTTTCCCAAATCTCCCATATTTGCCTCTCCTCGATCGAGGAATCTCGAAAATCCGTCACATTGCCTTCCATCCAAGTTTATCGCCACTCGTGCTATATTCACCAAGAGCCTTGTCGCCATCTTCTAATGTTTGCCCCCCTTATGTCCATGGACCATCGATGCCTGGCGCAAATCTTAAAATTTTCCTAAATTTTCTGCCTGAAGTTGATAACAGCGACCAATCAAAGGCGAGATAGATACGAAGGATGAAAGTGGCAAGTACCCCACTAGTCCTGTTTAAGCAGGCGGTTGGAAAAAGTGCCTGATCCAGGCCTGTGGTCATGTGATGATAGAAAAATACAAAGAGAACGCTAAGCCTAATCTAATTTTTGCTCGCGCCTCCCCTGGCAAGTTTTTTTTATTTTTTCTTCTCCTTCCCTTTCCCTTCAAGTTCCCGACCTTTTCCTACCTTTTGTTGTGAAATCGTCCTTCCTTCATCCTTCTCCCTTCCCACTCCTGTTCTCACATTCCAATACCCTCTTTCTTCTTTTCAAATCACTCTTTCGCAGACTCAAATCATGTCGTACGGAGGTGGCTACTCTCGCGGTGGCGGCGGCGGCGGTGACTCCTACCGGTAAGTTCTGATACGTTTCTTTGTCTCCTTTGTCTCATCAAATGCACGATTCTATGGCGAATTTCTCGAGCCTGCAGTCGTTTGTGATGGCGTTCGGACTTGGGATTCTGAGACTATCGTGATTTTCCAAAACCAATGCCAAGCGAGCAGGAGACATCCATCGCAAGAAAAATTTGTGCTAACTTGGATATTATAGCTCCCGCGGAGGTGAAGGCGGCTACTCTAACGGTGGCTACGGCGGCGGCGGCGGTTACGGCGGTGGCCGTGGAGGAGGGAGCGGTGGTGGTTACGGCGGCGGCTACGGTGGTGGAGGTGGTGGTGGCTACGGCGGCGGTGCTGCCGGTGGTGACCGCATGAACAACCTCGGCGCTGGCCTGAAGACTCAAGACTGGGGTGAGTTCTTTTTTTTCACTATGTTTATCTTGGTTGGAAAACACTAACTTTGGCTCATTTAGATATCAACACCATGCCCAAGTTCGAGAAGTCATTCTACAAGGAGCACCCTGATGTTACTGCGCGCTCCGAGGAAGATGTTCAGGCCTTCCGTAAGTCTAAGGAGATGGCCATTCAGGGTACCAACGTACCCCGCCCTGTTGAAACCTTTGATGAGGCTGGTTTCCCCGCGTACGTTTTGTCCGAAGTCAAAGCCCAGGGCTTTGATGCTCCTACTGCTATTCAATCCCAGGGCTGGCCCATGGCTTTGTCCGGCCGTGACGTCGTCGGTATTGCCGAGACTGGTTCCGGCAAGACTCTCAGTTACTGTCTCCCCGCCATTGTTCACATCAACGCCCAGCCTCTCCTTGCCCCTGGTGATGGTCCCATTGTCCTTGTTCTGGCTCCTACTCGTGAGTTGGCTGTTCAGATTCAGGCTGAGATTACCAAGTTCGGAAAGTCCTCCCGCATTCGCAACACCTGTGTCTATGGTGGTGTCCCCAAGGGTCCTCAGATTCGTGACTTGTCTCGCGGTGTTGAGGTTTGCATTGCCACTCCCGGTCGTCTGATTGATATGCTCGAGGCTGGCCGCACCAACCTTCGTCGTGTCACTTACCTCGTTCTTGACGAGGCCGATCGTATGCTTGACATGGGTTTCGAGCCCCAGATTCGCAAGATCATCGGCCAGATTCGCCCCGATCGTCAGACGTGCATGTGGTCCGCTACCTGGCCCAAGGAAGTCCGTCAGCTCGCTTCTGATTTCCTCAACGACTACATCCAAGTCAATGTCGGCTCCACCGATCTTTCCGCCAACCACCGTATCACACAGATTGTCGAGGTCGTCTCGGACTTTGAGAAGCGTGACAAGATGATCAAGCACCTTGAGAAGATCATGGAGGACCGCTCCAACAAGTGCATCATCTTCACTGGTACCAAGCGTGTCGCAGATGAAATTACCCGATTCCTCCGTCAGGACGGCTGGCCTGCGCTTTGTATGTGAAATGGGTTCTCCTCCGGCAAGTTTGCATTTTACTGACCTTTCTTTCCAGCTATCCACGGTGACAAGCAGCAAAACGAGCGTGACTGGGTCTTGAACGAGTTCAAGCAGGGCAAGAGTCCCATCATGGTGGCCACCGATGTGGCCTCGCGTGGTATTGGTATGATCAAATTGCATCCCCCCTCCCTCTTCCATTTCCCACTTTTTGTCCCCCCTTAAGGGGCCCTTGAAAACACTCACCCGTGTTGACGTTGTGTGATGCAATGGCACGGTGCTCAACTCTCTCGACGCACGCCGGTGTATACGCCGCGTCCAGGCGCATCTGGTCATCCTAAATGGTTCATATGCCAAGAGGACCTTGGACTCACAGTGCAGCACAGCAGCAGGCATCATAGCTTTGCATTGATTCTCTATTCTCCATCTCTTGTGTGACAGACTCGTAGAAGAGTCGAAGTTTTTCTCACACAGCGTTGTTCTTGAACTGTTGAACTGTTGAAGGCTGCATTTCCAAGGTTTCTCTAGGACCACGATACTACCGCCATCCCATGGATTCGCTTCCATTGGGATTTTCTTCAATGAAACCCATCAAGAGAGCAGTGATGCATCAAGTCCTGCACGACGGAGAAAGGGTCCTTATGGCCATACTCCTCATACCCCCACTAATGTTCTATTTGCTAACTGAACTCTGAAAAGATGTGCGCGACATCACTCATGTCCTCAACTATGATTACCCCAACAACTCGGAGGACTATGTCCACCGTATTGGCCGTACCGCTCGTGCCGGTGCCAAGGGCACTGCCATCACTTTCTTTACCACTGAAAGTAAGTTCACCATCTGTGTCCTAGACACTAGCGAGTTGTGCTAATCTTTCGTTCTCCAGACTCTAAGCAGGCTCGTGATTTGGTCACTATCCTCACTGAAGCTAAGCAGCAGGTTGACCCCCGTCTTGCCGAGATGGTTCGCTACGGCGGCGGCGGCGGTGGTGGTCGCTGGGGTGGCCGTGGACGCGGTGGTGGCCGTGGTGGCTGGGGTGGTGGTCGTGGCGGCGGCGGTGGTGGTTTCACTGCCTCCAATGCTGCTCCCGTCGGCGGCAACCGTCGCTGGTAGATGCCTCACTGGTAGCTGCCTCGCTGCTGCTTCCCGTGTAGTCAGTCACTTTGTCTTGTATTGCCCCGGTAGACTCTTTTCCATTTCTTGACTTCATGCGTAACTCGGGCAGGACGGCGTTATCTTTGATGTCATAGATAGTTTTTACTTATTTTTTCTTCAGTCCCAAGCTACAGGGGATATTCAAGGGCCTCGGATCTCGAATCATCAGTTCTAGTGAGATTCTAGGGCTTGAATCCTCGCGATGAATCCATACATGTTGATTAGTTTCAAAAGTTACAAATGCCTCAGAGACTTCGCCCGCCTCTGATCTCAATCTGCAATAATGATTACTCCTTGAATCTTTGTGATCTTCCGATATCCTAACTTAAAACAGTTCCTATGAATTGATATCGACAAGTCTGTAGCCAATGTATTCCCCATCTTCCTGCAACCACCTTTCCCCCCTCCCTGGCCAAAACCTCATGTACATCGCTAGTCGTATGACCCGAGTTTAACCAGAAATATCGCACCAACAACGTCGGACATCCAATCCATACTTCTCACAATCAACCGTAATATCCGGCTAATCATACCTAGTACAGAAGTTCGTCCCATTCGCGGATCTAGACTTCCATGGCTTATCAAGCGAATTCGCCAGCCTCGCATGCGCATCAGAAACCATAACCCGCGTCTCCTTCTGCTTTTCCGCAAATGGAGCCGCGTGATCTGCCAATTCGGCACTGTATCACCCGACCTGCGTGATATTTGGACATTGCTCACCCTTTGCTTGGTTCCCTGGCGTGCGGTCAACCGGCGGCAGCTCCCTGAAGAGATAGTTTCTGTAGCCCAGGCTGTAGAGGGTCCCTACTGAGGTGAAAGGTGTGTCCATGGGGCTTTTGTAGAAAGCTGTGAAGTCGACGGCGTATTTTGGCATCGTCGGTTGTGTCGGTTGTGTCAATCTAGAATGCGAATCGGGCATTGTCTAGGTTGAAGCCAGCCAGGTTGTGTAGTAGGGCCGGGTAGCCGTATTGCTTTGAATTGATTTATTAGGTCGATTGGGAAGACTATCGAACAACATGTCTACTAAGCAATCCCATCGAAAGACATAGCAACCTACCTGAACTCGGTGGATAGCGCTCGTAGATGAAGAGTTCTTCAACATCTAGATATTTGCACCCTGGCCAGGGCACCAAATTGCCTAACTCTTCAAATGATTGCCCTTTCGCGAGATGCGAATGTATGAGTGGCCTTGCAATTCAACATGATAGCCACTGATGACATCCACAAGGGACTTGGTGAAGGGACTTGGTGCTTTATGTTGCTCGCCAAAGAAAGAGGCTCGTCGGCGGCAAACGAATCCCAATAGAGGGGAAATGAAGTGAAGATGAACGGCGGAAGCAGGGATTTGTAGGCACTAGGGTGGGGCGACAGCCCTGGGTCAGGACATCTCAGCCTTATAGACCTTACCTCATTTGACACAAGTGCATGATGAAGATGTGGTCAAGCTACACTCGACAGCCTTACTTATGTATGATATGATGCTATTAGTTGGGTCTATTTCAAGTCCGCCGAGAATTGTTTGCTGCAGAGCTCGATATTGAAGCTTTAAGCTTCAACGGCCCACAACGAGGGTATGTTGTTTAAAGCTCTTAGCGTTTTGAAAGCTACATGAAGATCAGTGGATGTCCGCCATTAAAATTTTGGGGTTGGTCTTGTATCTCGTCTTCATTCTTACACTTGTTTCTCTGGCATTGGCAATACAATGAATTCTATCTGGATTTTCTACAAGATATCGCTATGCTAGGCACAGATCTGTCTAGACCATTACGAGCCACGTGCATCGTGATATCAGGATCGTTTTGCAATTAGCTGACACAAGTACCAATTTCTCACCTATCTGGCAGGACGGTACTCACCCGGGACTATATCCGTAGCACCCAAATTGAAATTCCCACTAAGGCCACAGAAACAGATCAAAAAGAGACCGGTGTCCATATCGATGCCTCGACTCCGGACGATGTACGGGGTACACAAACACAATTTGGTAAAACATACATCAAGATCCCACGTGGGCATGCACACAGAGTCCATCACACGTTGAAGTAGCCCTTGGTCAAAAATGACACTTGAAAGTACCATACATGATTCAGGAGACGCCCAAGAGAGCGACGTGCAGTAGTGCGGGCAACAAGCTAGCTTTCACGGGTGCACGGAGTAAGACGAGTCCTCAATTCCCATGGTCTGCATAAAAAAAAAATGTACTCCGTATGCACAAGCGCCTCCCACGTCTTCAGCGCGCCATACCAATAACCCAACCAGTTTTCATCCGACGATGTACGTCGGAGGCATGGGTGGGTACGACTCATTTCTCCGGCCCAGATCCAAACAGAACCCTGGAAAATTTACCAGCCGCATTGCCCAGACTGTCCGTGGCCAACAGGGGGTGGACCCGGCACCAGCATGCACTGGTAATACAATGTTCGCTGTATCAGGCGATAGCGCGCCACAGGGGAAAGGGGCGGAGGGCGGAAAGATAAGAAACTGAAGTTATAGTTTTGTTTACCTTCATTCCTTGTGATGTTGGATAGAGCAGACGTAGAACATGCATGGAAAATCTAACATTGCTTGGTAGCGGGTTGATCTATGATGGCCTCTTGTTTGGTGGACTACTGAGCACACTATGACTTTGAGTCGCATCATGGGGGAATATGTTGTAAAAACTACATCGCGATTAAGAATATACACGTGGACTCCGTAGTGGAAATAAGATGGCCATTTTACAGGTGTTCGTAGTTAGGCTGATCGACAGCTTCGCTAACAATGTATCGCTTTCTTCTCAAAAGGTAAATTGATTGGCAGTGTGCCATTATTTCTGCTTACCTTCCTTAGCTCCCTATCTCGGGATCTAAATCCCTGTAGGAATAAGTCTCATTGATTGGAGGAATCATTGTTTGTCTCCTGCCAATTCAAGATTTCAATATCAAGGTCAAGATGCCAACGCCAATATGTCTTTTTGATCAAAGGTTTAATTATAGCTGTACAATTCGGTACAACTGAACGATCGTGGTTTGCAAAAAAAAAAAAAAACCAAAAAAAATAAAATTACTTGGATCGTGAAGAAGAAAGCCCTCATGATACGTAGTACCGTGGAATTTAACCGCTCAATGATCATCATCCGGGGTGTGCTGATCCGCACTGGTATCCCTTAACGCGATCTGCCGAAGCATTAGCGGGTGAGACTTACTGTGTCTGGCGTAGTCTACCAACTTATCACTGTGGAGAATAGGGAAATTGCGGTGTTTTTTTTTAAAAAAAAAATCTGCCCTGAGAGCACAGACACCAATTTCTCTGATAGGAACCCGGCAGGTTCATGGGTCGTTGGCTTTGGGCTGTGTGCATATCTCGCAATTTCTCATCAATAGCGCAGAGCTCTTTTCTTTTGTTGAAACCGAGGACATAGTTAACCTCCAGTTTGGGGATCCCCGTGCACTAATAGATCCAACAGACAACCCGGATTCTAGCGTTCGGGGAAAAGAAAACGTCTATGCCAAGCCTTTGCTTGAATGCCCCCTGAACAATTAGAGCCACGTTGTAGGGGAATGACCGAAGAATCCTCAATCTTTTAGATATCATACTATACATAGGCTCGACCAGACCCTATGTGGGAACGTTTTCCACCCTCTTTTCTGACCCGCCTATTAGCTCGTTTAGCCGTATTTAGCGCAATAGTGCGAAGTGGGTATTATTTTTTTTTGATATTCGGACTCCGTACAAAGTGACAAAATTCAATATGCAATTTAGAAGAACAAGCATGCAGAAATGGGCCCACGTGCATCAAGTGACATGGATAAATGTCTGTCTGCAGGTCCTGCTTTTGGGGTCAATTGAGACATTTAATTCTATGTATTCTTCTCTTTTGGTCTCTCTACTTGTTTG